TATCACTGGCGAATAAAGAACCCAAGTCTTGAAGACCTGTCCCCAAATCGTACACCTCTGTAACAACCCTGCTGGATGAGAATTAGATCCCACTTTCTTTCAGCCGTACCAGATTTGAGGTTTTAGAGGTGAAGCTTTCTGTAGGTCTGTGTCTTTCGTAGGAGCCCTATTCAAAGCTAAACTGGGTTATTCATCATTTGAGCCCCCTTTCAGCTTGCGGGCTTAATAGAGTTGAGGTTTTAGGTCAAGGGTCCATACTTAGCATAGCCTAAAACATACCAGGCACTCAATGCCCGTTAATTAAATAAATGTTAAATTCACATGGTTTCGTTTACGTGTATTCTGAGTGGGTTTCTGAGTGTCTGGAACTTCCAAATATTTTACTTAATCTTCCCTGAGATTGTTAACTAGTTCCTCTTCTTTCTATGGCACAGCATCTATTTACAAGTATTTCTGATTCAGGCCACATGTTGTGTGGGCATTTTGAAACCCAGGGGGCACATGGGACAGCAGCTCCTAATTTTGGTTTGGCTGGGTCTCTTATTTTAGGTTTTAATTTTAGTTTGTTTTGGTCTCTCCATGATTACTCAGTCTTTCTTTGCATTCACATCCAGGCTGTTCTGAGTACCTGTAACCCTGCAAGTCTCAAGCATATCATTGTACTTGTGTATTAATTATGTATTTGATTCATTACTACTGTACCTCAAGCAATACGACCTCAGGGCATATACATGACATTTAAGACTAACGATGATTTCACGTATAGCATATCTGCTCAAAAAATAAAATCATCTTTAGAGATTTAGGGGGAGTGAGAATTTAATGGATAGTACTGACTTTTTTTTTAAAGCAAACACTTGACCCTAAAACTGCTTTTTTCCATCTTTTGCTTCAGCCTGACCTAGAAGTAGCTTTGACTTATAACTGGGTACCTCAGGGTCTCCTCTTCCAGCAGATTCACTGCTGTTGCCGTCTGTTAGCCAATGTTCATGTTTATTGGTGGCAGGGAGAGCCCACCTGAATATTCAAGGAATACTCAGGGTTTTAGTGCAGCATGCAGCTGGGTCTATACAAAGGTTTTCCTGGGAGGGGCCTCTGAGCTTCCCTGTGGATGGTTTCCTCTGCTCCACCTCCTTCCACCCCTCTGGTCCTACCTTTCTGAGCTGACACATTGTCCAGCACTGTGAAGTTGGTGACACATCCCACTTAACAATAATTGCCAGCCCTTGCGGGCACTGACTAGACTCACTGCAGCCCCTGTGTACCATGGTTTACACTGAATGACTTCTCACGGGAGCTGAGAGGGCCTTGGGGCTGGGTGCCAGCTGCTATTGCTGGGTTTGAACTGTACCACTTAGTCTTTATAAATAAGTGTCAATCCCATTGACTGTGCTTTCTTCCAAACAGATTTTTCACCAGCAACAACACTGAAGATGATAGGCGGGGGAGCAGGGGTGTTGACAGTACATACTTGGCACACATCAGCAGCTTTTGGCACCCACCAGTCATCAACTAAAGGAGTCTGGGAGGGACAATAGCCTGAAATCTCCCTCCTTGCTTCAGAACCCACCTTCACGCTGCAGTGCATCCTTTATAGTGATTTCCAGGGAATTAATTTAAAATTGCTCCTTCAATCCTGTCGGTATCTCCTCAGAGGGCTCCCACCACCCCAGGCCTGCCTGATTTCAACCCAGGCTCGCTCCTACTGACTTTGGGAGATGGGTAAAACATACTTAAACAAAACAGAGGACAATTTTTGAAGGAGTTATAAAGATCTTTACCTAGTGACATACACTAAAATCTCAACAGGTGCAAACTTATCCTTCCTGGAGGAGGGACTATATCCCTCTTGACTCTAAAGACATAGATTTGCATATTGATAGAATCCGTGGATTTGTATAGCTGGATTGGGATATTAGAAACCATTAATCATAGTTCAGCACAGCAGTCAGCCTCTCGGAAAGTTGTTGGGAGTTGGGGGCAGGCTATTTAACATCTAGTCAAGCAGAAATACTCAACTGCCAAAAACAGGCCACACTGATTCATCCAACAGAGGTACCACTCATTCATTCATTCATTCATTCATTCACTGAATAGTTACTGCACATCATTTGTGTCAGGCCTTGTTGGTAGCTGGAGATAATGAGTGTGAAAGGCGGTTGCTATCGTGCTTATCTCAATTGCTTATATACACTTACCAATCATCTGAGGGTCTGCCCTTCTGTCCAGAATCTACATACAGTATAATGGGAATTACGAGGACTTCTCTCTGCCTTTTACTAGATATACATCTTTGGTCTCCCCGCAGAGATGCGGTACGCAGAAAAGGAACTCCGTACCATTTATGCTGGTTGTTCTGCATGAGTTCTGGGATTTGGGGCTTCAAGATCACACAGCTGTCAAATCTACCAACTATCATCCCTTCCTGACTGTTTAAACTGTTGAGGACACCGAGATTTGAAGTTTAGTTTACCTGCCCAATGTTGCAAAGCTAAATTCTGGCTGGGATGAGACCACACCTCACCTGCCTTCATGGCCTGCTGGCTACTCTGTCTACTCTGAAGTTCATGACAAAACCCCATGAGTCCAGGTGAAGAAGACTGTAAGTGACCCTCTAGTTCAAAGCTTCTCCACTGGGGAGACCCTCTAGTTCAAAGCTTCTCAACTTTGGCCACACATATCTAGGGACCCAAAGGAGCATGCCACACTACAGAAACCTGAGCTGCACCCCCAGAAATGTAAGTTTACTTGGTTTGGGTCAGGTCTGGACATCTACATTTTTAAAAGATGTCCTAGATGATTACTGATTTTAGGGAAAACTCAAATAAACCATACGTCCTACTGCCCTGCTCACTCACATACTCATTCAATCATTCGTTCATTCATTTCACTATTTTCCTCAAACATTACTTTAGCAAGAGAGACATACATAAAAAATCTCTGAAGTCATCCACATCCCGTGTCAGGAAAATTCTGCCCGTCTGTTGGCACACCACAGGCACTTTCCAAGCTCCTCACCCAGCTTTTAAACATCACTAATAAGCAGCACTAGCGAGCATGCCCATGAAAGCCTGCAGCTCATCCCCATTTCGAAGCTCACCTCGTCCAGGAGTCGCTCTGGAGCCCTGCCACCATGGTATGGAACCACGTCCGTATCCAGGGCTGTGACAGAAGGGCACCAGGGGCTCGTTGCTCTTTATTTACTTTTAATTACAATTTTCCTGTGTGTCTCTGCCCTCCCATGGGAGCAGCAGCACCCTGTTAATGGGATTATGTGGCCTGGATGCTGCTGTGGAGGTGTGTGCCGCTCCTCCTGTCTCTGAATTTCACCCAGATAATTGATTTCGGTCTGTTCCCTGACACTCGCCTTCAAGGCACAGGGTGTTATTAGGGCCTTTGTTCCATTTTTGAGTGACAAAGTCTTTACATGCCAGCCAAGCAAAAGCAATTGTTGCATCTCTCACTTTTCTTATTAACTAACAGAGAATTGCAGGCAGCTTGAAGCCCGCTGAGAGAAATAATAACATAAGCGGCTGCTTGGGCGCAAAGTGGATCCTTTCAACCACAGCAGCCTGGTGAGATTAACAAGGCCCCTCCTCTCCCGCAGCCACTGGATCCCCATTCTCCAGCTTCCCTGTCTGTCTCCCTCTGCCTTTCCCCCAACCACAGCAGCCTGGTGAGATTAACAAGGCCCCTCCTCTCCCGCAGCCACTGGATCCCCACTCTCCAGCTTCCCTGTCTGTCTCCGTCTGCCTTTCCCCCAACCACAGCAGCCTGGTGAGATTAACAAAGGCCCTCCTCTCCCGCAGCCACTGGATCCCCACTCTCCAGCTTCCCTGTCTGTCTCCCTCTGCCTTTCCCCCATCCACAGCAGCCTGGTGAGATTAACAAGGCCCCTCCTCTCCCGCAGCCACTGGATCCCCACTCTCCAGCTTCCCTGTCTGTCTCCCTCTGCCTTTCCCCCACCCACAGCAGCCTGGTGAGATTAACAAGGCCCTCCTCTCCCGCAGCCACTGGATCCCCACTCTCCAGCTTCCCTGTCTGTCTCCGTCTGCCTTTCCCCCATCCACAGCAGCCTGGTGAGATTAACAAGGCCCTCCTCTCCCGTAGCCACTGGGTCACATACCAGGTGTATTTCACGATCTGAAAGTTTTGTGACATGTTTTCGCTTCGTAAGTGAGCTGAAGTGTTCTATGATCAATCACAATGTTGTACTTAGTAATCCATTTGTCGGAGGATGTTTAGGGTTTGAGGTGTCTCCATTCATTTTGCTATTACAAACATGGCCCCTGTGAGTATTTGGATTCACACCTCCTTGTGCACACATACAAGCCTTTCCTGACATACAAGCTAGAAGGGTTGTAGGGATTGTTCATTTTCAACTCTAGCAGGTAACACCAAGATGCCTCCAAAGAGATTTTTTTCTAATTATGTCATAAGATGAAATGTAGGAATTGGTAATCCCATTTCACATACAAGGACAAAGAAATGATTTCTCCCTGTGTTTGGCTGGGAAGGTGACAGCAATAGGGAAAGGAAAATTTCTTCCCTCTAGTTTCTATTCTTGGTCTCCCACTATCCCGGTGCCTAAGCTGACAAGAAGGATCACCATCATTCCAATGGAACTGGGAACTCATTCCTGTTCCTACTTCCTTGGTAACTTTGTTTTCCATCCTTGAGCCATTGGCAGGTGAGATCCTTAGTCATGACCTGCTCTTTCTTGTGGTCCAGGCAGGGCAATTCCTTCTGTGTGCACAGTGCTCTGATCAGTTACCCAGAGCTCTGAACTGATAGGCGCTCTGTTTCCATGGTTGCTTCAGCAGGTCGGTGGTCATAACAGCAAACACTTGAGTCTACCCTGAATGTGTATCCTCATGCTCACTAATTTTGTGACCACAATCAAATACTTAACTTCTCAGATGCTGTCTCCTCATCTTTAAAATGGGAATGATTGTACACACCTTTCACAAAAGTTGTGAGAATCATGTAAACAAAGCAAAGCAACAAGCACAGTGTTTAATACTCTGTGGTCATCCTGTAAAAAGCATAAATGACTTTAAAATGCATGCTTTGCTCTGCACCTGTGGTGTGAGGTGGAGGAAGGGTTCCAGGGTGGAGGAGAACCATGCCCCCACTGACTCTTTTGGTTGGATTCCAAATACTAGGGTTGGAAGACACTGACAAGTTTTACACTATTTACTGACCCATGGTAGTTTAGAAAGGAAGTTGACTTCACAGAACTTTCTTAGGTCTACTAGTTCTTACCCCAAAGAGGCTAGTAGAACTAGTTTCTTTGTGGACAAAAGACTCAAATGTGTATATGACACTTCTGCCTTGATCGTGTACCTCTCCTAAGTGAAATTTTACTTTGAGAAGGTAGAATGTCCTTCCTTTATCAATAAAAGCTTTGGAAAGTCAAAATACTTTTAGAGTTCCCTTTAGGGGTACAAGAGAGGATGGGGTTCAAAACCCATTGTGTGCTCCCAGGCACATAAAGTGACAGTGCTGCTATGTCATCTTCTTCTTAGCAGTTCTTGTTTTCTCATGCAGTTGTCACCTGATTTAATTATCTCTCTGTGTTTGTTTCCATCTTCATCCACTCCCCTCTCCTCCCTTCTTCCTTCTCACTGCATCCTCATGCTTTCTTCTTCGTTCTCATGGCCTCCCGGCACCTCCGCAATTCACCTGCTTGTCCCCAGAGACTCTCACGCAGCCTTCTTGAATGACTGATTACTGGAAGGAATAGAATTGTTAAAAACAACAATGTTTTCTATACACCAGTGTGTAAAATGTATAATAAAAAAGTGGAATGGCACTAAATGAATTATGGTTTTTTTAAAAAAACAAATTACCCACCTGTCAAATACTATTAATGCTCAAATCAGCATGAAGAATAAGAACGCGTGTACAGAGGGAGCTTTTCTTCTTTTGTAAAACAAATACCAGCCCCTCATAACAGCTGGTTTCAGTGTCTTCAATGAGTAACTGATAAGGGGAAGGAAGGTAAAAAACTCTCCAACAAATCGTTTTTCATGGTGTCAATGTAATGTGTTACTTTCGTGTGTAATTCAGATGTGTTCTCATATTTGAGTGAAGGGTTCATTAACTTCCCATGGCTTAATGATATTCCATAGGATAGGGCAAATGAGAAAGGGGAACTTATGAAAACAGAAGTGAGAGTGGAGGTGGGTTTTCAATGTTCAGGGACTCATTTGCTTCTCAAAAAAAGGAGGTTTGAAAGCCAAATACACAGGGAAATACCTCGTTTTTGTGAATACGCTAAAGGGTAATATTTATTTGGACAAAGAACAGTAGGCTTTTTCCTTCCTTTCTTCCTTCCTTCCATCTCCCTCCCTCCCTCCTTCCCTTCCTTTCTGCCTTCTGTAGTTTATTTTGTTTTATCTTTAATGCTGACAGGCAGGAGACGAATGCACTTGTTCTTTAATCCAATGAGATTGTTTTTCCATAGAAGTACATCTACATTAGTGTTAGGAAAGGAAAGGACAGTTATATTACTTGGGAGGGGAGATACACTGCTGGTGATTGTCACAGGGTATCCCAGAGACCATGGAAATCCTTCATTCACTCTTAGAGGGTTATTTTCTTCCCTAACATTGGTCAAAAGTAATTGCCACTTAGGTAGAGCAGAGGCCACACATGCCCCCATCTTTCAGCCTCTCACAGCTTTGTGGAATTCATCTGAGTCTCTCTGTTTTATTCTCCACAGGATGACTAAGTGACCAATGCAGTAGGTAAGCACGAAATTAGAAGTGAGTAAACTGTATTATACACAGATTTAGCTCACCTGGCCCACCAGAGACACGGATCAGATCCCGGTTGAATTAAGGAATTTGCTATGAACCCTCTAGCTGACCTGTGGCAAGCATTCTAATTAATAAGTACTATATCTGGCTTTTGTTCTCTGTTAACTACAGATAATTCTTCTTCCTTGACTTTAATATAATAGAATATAGTCTTTAAAACTGCCTTGGGGAAAAAAGAAATAGAGAAATAGAAATGATTATTAATGTTCTTGCTTAATTGAAAGAGTATTTTCCTATGATAGTTACACGTCTTCTAATTACCTCAATGTGCATTGCTTAAAATTTAAACAAAACAAAACAAAACACCTTTGGGTTAGAGCAGTAATTGTGTTTATATTATTTCTGCTAGAGCTAAATGGATTTCAATGGCTAACCTCAAATGTAAAAAGTTGTTACTTTGGCCTATGTTTGCATTTAAAGTGCCCAAATACAAGGGCTTAAGTCAGAAAGATGTGAAAGCGCATGGAATAGTTCCCAGTTTCTGTTTGTTCTTTATGCAATTCAAGGCTGCGTATGATTACAGTGTTGGTTGCATTTAAGTGCTTTGTTTTCCCCTGGGTTACAAACATCTAAGGGAGGCGGGAGGATAAGAGGATAAAGAGAATTGAAAAGAATTCTCAAAAGGCATTGTGAAGCACATCAGCTGAGGAGTGAGTTATAAATGAATCTAACAGAGAGACATTTAATTTCCTTCCACATAAGCTTGAGGCTGAAGAGGAAAACTTAGTGGGCATAACTTTACTTATAAGGAACAGCAAATTTTAACAACTCCTTGGTGTAGGGGAGAAAAATTCAAGCCATTTGGTAGTAATTATCCATTACATTTGTTCAGCATATTGGAGTTCATTGTCCCCTACAACTCCTACATAATTCGACTCCACAACTATTCGTTGAGTGTCTGCTAAGCTCCAGACATAGAGCTGGGTTTGGGAACATTAGGTTCAAAGAAGTAATAGCCCCCACTCTCAAGAGGGTCACAGTGTACAAGATGGACATATAAGATAATACAAGGTAATGCGGCAAGTTCTGTAATAGTAGAAAGCATAAATCCTCAGCTGTGTAGAAGAGTGAGCAATTAATTCTGCTTGGACTACATTTAGAGCAACCCAGAATGTGTATTGATGTAAGCATTCATTCGTTTATTTATTCATTCATTCAAAGAGCAATGTGTTTTTCTTGCTGTACTGTGGCAGACGTTACACTAGTCAAAGAATGACTTGAGTGATACACAATTATGAGCTGAAACATGTTGAACAGTGAATGAACCTTACTTAGGCTGTGGTCTTCCTCAGGGATGCGTTTCTTTATTTGGCTATGGAACTGCGGAAAGAGTAGGAGTTTAACAAAGTAAATGAGAGAGGGAAAGTGTTCTGGACAGAAGAAAGGGCTTGTGCAAAGCTCTGCTGTAAGAGGCAGAACTCTAGATGCTGGAAGACAAGGAAGGCCCGGACAGCTGTAGCTGACAGAGCAGGAGGAACATGGCATGCATGTTAGCTTGCTAGGGCTGCTGTAGTAAAGTATCACAAACTGGATGGACTACACCAACAGAAATTTATTGTTTCACAATCCTGGAAGCTAGAAGTCTGTAATCACATTGTTGGCAGGGTGGTTCCTTCTGAGGGCTATGAGGGAGAATCTGTTCCAGGCCTCTTGCCCAGCTTCTGGTAGGTTTGGGGCAATCATTAGTGTTCCCTGGTTATAGATGCAGCATCCCAATCTCTGCCTTCATCTTCACAAGGTGTTCTCTTTGTACGCATCTGTGTCCAAATCTCCCCTTTTCATAAGGACACCAGTCATGTTGGATGAGGGCCCCAGCCGATTCCAACATGACGTAATCTTAATTTAACTAATTACACCTGTAGTTATTCTAGTTTCAAATAAGGTGACATTCTGAGATATCAGGGGTTAGGACTTCAGCATATGAATTTGTGTATGGTGGTGGGGGATGGGGATAATTTCACTGCTGACGATCTGGGATGAGGCTAGATAATGAGGCTAGCACTTGATGTCTTTGGCTTCTTCGAGGACTGGTAAGTCGTGTTACAGACTTGGTTCTTTATCATCAGATGTTGAGCAGAAGATGCCATGGTCAAATTTTCATTTCACAAAGGTGTCCCATCCTCTGCACTGTCTGGAAAGGTTGGGTGTGGACAGACCTGTTGAAGACTGATGCAGCCTTTTGGGTGAGAAATGATAGATTACAGTATACCAGGATGGAGAAGATGGACTGGAGAAAAATTAATAGGTTGGGAAGATGTTTAAAAGGCAAACAATTAATAGGACCAGTTAATGGGTTTGGGTGATAAGAAGAGGGTAGGGTCAAGGATGACAACTGGATGGAAAGTGGCGTCATTTACTGACACAGGGCCAGATTTAACAGAGAAAAATATGAATTCAGTCTTGACTATGAAGAGTTTATAGTACCATTTAAATATCCTAGAGGAAATAGCGAATATGTTTTTGAAGGATTTTTGAGGTTAGAAAAGAGGTCTGGGCTAGAAATATAAATTTGGAGATTATTGTTTCATATGTTAATGCATAAATTATACCATGCACAGGAATAAAATGTCTTGGGGAGAGGGTAGTATAAAGTGGACAGGGCCTAGGAATGTGCTTTAATAAACTCCAACTTTATAGGACGATAATAAAGGAAGATTATTCCTTTATTATTCGCCTACAGGAGAATCACAAGAAGAGTGAACAGGTGAAAGCAGCCATACAAGTCAAAAGAAGAAAACAGTTCGAAAAGGGGCATGATCACAATTTAGATTGCTGATGGTTGAGGCAAATGAGATGGGGCAGAGGAGGGAGGTGCCCACTGGATTCCATGACATGAAGATGAATGAAGCCTTAGCATGTTGGCAGAACAGGGAAGAAGAAGGAAGTTAGTAAGATGACAATAAGGAGAGCTAGAAGTAAAATTGACAAATGTCATGAGTCCCAAAAAAGCAATTTTAACAAGAAGGCAGATGATATGGAAGGGTGGATGATCATCAGAAAGGACGCCTCTAGACTCTGAAGCAGATGTCAGAGTGAGAGAACACAGAGCCAAGGTTGCAGAGAGCAGTGTCCTCAGTAGATAGACAGGCTTGGACAGTCAGCTACATCAAGGGATTGGTCGTAATATTCTGAAAAAAAAAATGTCAGAAAAAAATATTCTAAATGGTGCAGTGGAAGGTGAAAAAAGAATGGAAGAAAGAAGAGCAAAGCCCAGGAGTGGGAGGGCTGGGTGGGGAGGAATCTTTTCATTTGATAGTGACAAAGATGAGAAGGGACAAGAACCCAGAGTGGTTAGTGGTTCAGTCTCAAAAGTCCCTTTCAGGAGGTGTAAGAAGATATATGCTGGTCCCAAACTGCCAGAGTGTTGGCCCTCTGCAGCTTTGGTGATATGAGCTCCAGGATCTGCAGTTTCTTCTTGTAGGAGTAGTGTGCTTGCAAATCCAGGTGTGGAGTTTATGTATTCACGTGGCATGGAGTAGTGGCATCTTATCTAGCTAGAGTACAGAAGAAAGGTCTGAGAGTCTCTGTCCCTCTAGTTCATGACTGGAGATGGTAGTGCCCCCAGGGAGTGCATTAATTCATTTATTCATGCATGCATCCATTATTTCCTTTATTCATTTAACAAACCTTTTTGAGTAGCTAGTTTGTACCAGACTCTGGGTACACATTGATGAATTAAAGATATTATTCCCACCTTCATTACCCTAAAGTCTATTTGGAAAGGAGAAAATAAATAGCAAACAAAATCAACAAACATAAAATGTAATTACATGTTAGAAAACTGCTATGGAGGTAAAGGCAAGATGCCATCAAAGGAAATAAAAGGAGAGACATACTTTTATACAGATACTTTGAGCCTGCACAGTGTGAGATTTTTGAGAATCAGATGGATCTGGCAATGTGAGTAGT